GGCAATTGAATTTTAAAAAACTAAACCAAAATTAATCCAACTGCATATGTCTTGCAGTTTTCTTTCCAAAGAAGCTACTTATGAAACATACTCTTAACACTGTCTACATCCGCTGAAGAGTCAGAAGTAGAGATCAACACGAGTCTTGTTTTCTAAGAGTGACACCTAGAGTTTAATCTGAAAAATTAAAAGGGTTTGCTTTACTCATCTGGTTTTAAAAGGCAATAGGCTTTTGTTCATAGTTATTACTTTGAATTGTCAGTTAAATATATTTAATACTTATTAATTTGCTGGTTTTGTGAAGATGCAGCACAGTATTTGTTGTTAAGTGGCCTGCATACGGCATGTTTTGCTTATCACACTTTTCTGTTAAATTAAGACCTTTATTTTACAGGTGTTACATTCAGCCTTTCATTTAGGAATACTTACGTGGTTTGGAAGCTTGACTTGCATTACTGCATGAAAGGATACACCAAGCCTATATGTGTTACTGCTCCCATTTTATAAACAAGGCAAACGGAAGTCCATGACGTGGCCTAAGCTGTATGGAAAATGAAGGGAAGAACCATCAAGACCTGAGTTTTTATGCCTTAAGATAAGTTGATTTTCCTGTCAGATAGATTGAGACAATGGGGCAGAGCCTTGCTGCAACCTGACCTCAAACCCCGCTGCAGGAGGCTGCCCATCCTTGCTGCAGAGCTGAGCCCCATACATGCAACATGGCAGCTGGGCTTGCACTTCCCCAATTCTCTGCCATTGGGCATCGTGCTGAACACTGGGGAAGAAGGTGTTACTTGTGACTTGAGTAATAATTAGACAAATCACTTAAATCTAGCTACATTCTGAGAGAATTAGTTATCCGATCCACTTAGGCCCCTTCCAAAGTTCATGTGTCTCTTTGTGTGTCACCTATGTACCCCTGTATCCCTTTGAAAAACAAGTGGCAGTGCTTGTTTTGTGAAATTCATTTTATCTACAGAGCTCATATCCACCTTTGTTATCTTAGCACAGCAGAAAACACAAATAATCCTCATGCAATTGTTGTAACTGCTTCTGGAATTTTTCTTTTTCAACACCGAACATCCACAAAAGGAGAAAAAGAAAAACAACAACAACAAAAAAATCAGAAATCCCACTAATGATGGGGTAGCTCAGCAAAATTTCCACAAGAAAAATCCTCGGCAACCTGAATCACCTGAAACCACTGCACATGGATCTTCCCAAGTAAGCATGAAGGTTTTTCTGTTTGCAGATGTCAGTGGCTCCCTTCTGTGGCAGTGAAGCAGCAGCCCCTTCTGCTCCTGCAGCCATGGGGGCTGCCGTGATGACTCCCCTGTTCCCAGCTATTGCTCCCTGCCTGCAGCAAGGACTGGACAGTGATGTCTTTTGAAGGCTGGTGAGAATATGTCCACAGTCTGTTTTCTATTCTACGCACCAGAGTCTGGGCAAAAAGCACTAAATCAGAAATCAAGTCTAAATCTCGCAGACAAACGGATGAGTTGTGTGAACAAATCCATGAAGGACACCATGTTAAATGAAAATTATGTGCCTGAAAAAGACCATGATGTTAAATATGCCACCTTTGCCAATTAGCCACTTTAGTTTTAATTGAAGAAAAAAAATGTATTTTGAGTTACAACCCCCTTATATTAGTTAGACAGCTGCTCTGACCCTGCAAACTGGTGTCGAACATTGACTCCACAGGATGCTGGGACTTCAACACTGTTGCTTGCCTGCAGGGTGTACATTTGAAACAATGGATTTATGCTCTCAGGGGTGAGCAAGCGAATGTACCCTCAGCCACTTACAACTCCCTTTCCTCAGGCTTCCCTGCCGTCCTGCTCACCCTGGAACAAACCCAGGGAACCCTCTGACTCCTGCTTCAGCCATGTGTGGCCAGGATGGATACTGTTCTTTTGGGCTGTGGGGTTCTGTGTCTGCCCTGCTCTGCCTCCATAGCCTCCCATTAATTAAAGCACTGGGCTGACTTTCTTTGCTTCTCCTCCTTTAATGTACTATTTTGGCAACAACTGGCTCCATGAAATCTAAAAAAGAGAATTAGGACTGGTTTTGGTCTTGTTAGGCTCCTGGGTGTCATCTTACTGTGTAAGGAGAGTGTTCCAAAACAGTGAAAAAAGGAAACCCAGTAAAATCTAAATAATCTGGAGGTGAGTCCTCAGAGCCAGGAACACTGTATTCAGACTATGTTTTATAATGTAGATTGCTCAAATAACATATAGTTGCCTGGTAAAGTACTGCATCAAAACCTGGTGTGTCCTATGCTGCAACTCCTTCCAGTAATAAAATAACGAATAATGTAACAATAACAAAACAGAACCAATAAAATAAAGAATAAATCCATTTCTCATTACTAAACATGCAAGACATTAAGCTGGCATTGGTATTCCTGTGGAATAAAGGGCATAAGGCAGCTTTCTTTGCCTAGCCTGCACTATTTACGTATTCCTCCAAATAGGTTCTGGATTGGCAGGTCCTTGTCAAATTTAAAACCACTATGTAGGATGGAATATGAGGTTTGCTGTCTCCCAGGGTAAGAAAGTATATGCAGAGGAACATTTTTGTCAGAATTCCTAGTATCCTTCACAAGGAACAGGTTTAAATTTATAGTGCCATGGTATTAGGAGCAATTTTAGCAGATGATACATTCTTCACTGCCTGGGTCCTTTTATGTTTGGTGGGTTTTTTTGTTGTTTGGTTATTTTGTTTTGTTTGTTTGTTTTCTTTTTTTTTGAGAATTATTTATTGAAGAGCTTTTATAGGACAGTCTGCTACTGAATTTTTCTTTAAAAGTATGCTCACTTTTCTCTTTTACTCCTACCATGTTCACCTGGGAAATCTATCCCCAAGGTCTGTCCCTTCATGTCAACGCCTGAAGAAGCTGGAGATCAAAAGAGGATGTGAAAATTATACAGGTGAAAACCAATACAAACTCTGCACAGGGAAGCTTTCAATCACCATTTGACTTGTTATGTGAGAAGCAACATTGGTTTATTCATGCATCATATTTTGTTTTGTTTGCACAGATGATTTCCCATTTTCAGAAGAGTAAGAAGAAATGGAATTTATCTGAGAATTGTCCATGGCAGAGACTGTTCGACATTTTCCTCCTTCAGAGTTCAAGTCAGCCCTTCTTTTCACCAGGCTGGTGGGATATACATAGTCAGAATCATGGTAACAGAAGAAAATGCTCAGCAAACAGAAACTACCACCTATGAACACTTCTTTACATGAGTTTTAGACTAAAACGTCTCCAGTGTTTATCCTAATGCATTAACAGCTTCTCTGAACTGGGTTGTTTAACGTGTGATGACTAAAGTCAACACAGGGGTATCAAGCAAGAGGCCTCTGCAAAAGATGTGTACCAGTGTCATTGCACTGACTGCTGAACTCCAGAGTACAGTGAGCACACAAAGTGCATGTTGTTATGACTGCCACAGCACCATAGTCAGTTTGTGGTATATCCCAGGAGAATTCACCATTGTACTTTAACAGAAAACTGTCCTACATTTCAACAGGTAACTAATAAAATTATTTGACAAGATTTGGTAGAATACAAAGCTACGAAGTCAGTGGTATGACACATCATTGCTTGTGCGTTTGTGCTGAGACACTTATGTCTTCATTCCACTTGTTCTTCATATTAAACTTAAGTATAAAGAAGTTGTCCTGTGCTCTCACTGAAGATGAGCCTTTGAATCTGCCTGAGATAATTTGTTACATAAAACACCAATGCTTACAAATAGCGTATTGTCATCAGAAGCTGCTTTTGCTGAGATTTGCTGAATGCTTTGGCAGGTTCCCAAAACGATGGCATCCTTCTTTATTGATGAAGTAAAGGGTACTAATGAGTAACTTCCACGTGGCAATTTAATATTGCTTTTCTTTGGCTTTTTGCTACAAGTGGCCAGTGCTGAAGCAGTGTGTTGCAAAGCTATGGAAGAAGCTGGAAGCAACCACACTGCATGTCTCTGAGGCAGCAGAAAGGAAAATTCACACACAGCTTGTGGGCAGGGAGAGGTGAGGTAGGGTTGTAAGGAACTGCTGGAGTATGGGCTGGCAGGTTACAAGCTGGATTCACTCATAGCTTCAGGCTTTCTTCCCTCCAGGATGCTAGGCAGCGATTTGCAAGTTTAAAGAGGAGATGATGCTCTTCTCTCTCCTCAACTCTCAACAGTCACTAACAACTCACCTGGATGAAGATCAACAGCCCACTAGCAGTAGTGGTGCCCCTTTCAAGAGTTCTGGAGTGGGAATAACAAGATTACCTCCCACTGCTCTAGCTACCCACCTGTGCAAGAACACCAGAGAGTTTCTGAGTGGTCCCCGATAGGATAAAAATGATGGGATAATAGCCTGTTCAGGGAGCACAGGTAGCTGAACCCTGCCAGAGACCAACCACTACCACTGGGCTGCAGAAGGCCACAATGCAGAGGTGGAACTGGCTGAGGTTCTTCTGTCTCAGCACACCAATGTATCCAAAGCCCCTGCCATATAACACTATGAGATCTGAAATCCTGCAGAATCTCAACCCTGTGGAAGTACAAACATACAGATTGGGAATATTTTCACCACCTAGACAGTTTCTACTGCTAAATCTTTAAAAACATGGGAAAACAAGAACTCTATCTTCATTCTGTGCTATATGAAAGATATTTTTGGAAACCACTGCCATCATTCAAGTAACAACTCCCCATAAATCCCTCTCAAACCATTTTGCAATCCTAGTCAAACCAATCCATTCATTGTGTTTTCTGCACTGAGTAATCTCATGCAGAGCCTATGATATCTGAAGAACATGAATGAGTCATAGACCAAAGTTGACATTAATTGGAATATATTTATCAAGGATCAATTATTACCTTAAATTAGTAATATAATGATAAACAGTATATAATTGTAAATAGTAAGAACAGTAAATAATTTTCTTATTTACATGTAGAACAGCTTGTGTATCCTCTGTGTATACTGTTACATAGCTATAACAAAAAATGTTATATAGCTAAACTGTTTTATAGCTATAGCAAAAAAATTGGACATATATCTTAGGGGAGGGATTTTCAGAAGTGGTCCTCATTGCTTTAAAATGTGCCACACAGGGTAGCACAAGGCATGGCTAGATCGTGTCCACTGCACGTGGGACATTGTGTCTGCGCATGGAATCTAGCAGATTTCAAGTTATGCTCATGCAATGTGTCCAGGGGCTGCCTGTAAAGCAGGTGGGAGGCAGGCAGGACAAGAAGTACATCAGCATGCTGTAACTGCTCCAGAGGATGCTCTTCTACTGCAGGACAGGTTCAGCTCATATGCCAGACGAGCCATGAAAGCTCTTGAAAATTGTTCTTTACACCACCGTGTTACAGAGGATCTCTTTCAGTGGGATGCAGTCACTGGTAGGCCTGTTGTACCTCCAGCTCTTGGTTGATTTTCAGGCATTTTGGGTAAGGATCTGTCCTTAGCACAGAAGCAGCATGTTCTCTGTCACTTCCTCATTCTTCATATGATGGTTTGTATGTATTCCTGAATCCAGGGAAGGAGAATATCCAGCTCATGGATGGCCTTGTAGATTCCCTTCTCTCCAAGCTATCAAGAAGAAAAGGTATCAGAAAAGAAACCTCCCACAGCCCCTGAACAGTGTAGCTGGGAGCCAGTGCCTCCTGCTCTTACCTTAAGAAATGCTTTCCTTAAGTTTTTGACTGCAGAAGTTAACCTTGCGGATGGAGCACATGGAAGCTGAAGGGGTGAAAAGAAACCGAAAGAGCTTATTGCAGCGAGGACACTGATACATAGTAATGAGGAAGATTTCAACCCACAGTGTGGCACCACAGGACTACTGGTAAAATGTGTGAACTCAGCATCGTTTTAGCATCTCCTGCTACTACAAATGTGTTATTTTACCTATGTGCTGTTGAGTTCACAGCACAGAAAATTGTAATATGCGCACCACTCATGAAGATGTTCTTGTTAAACACTTCCTATTTATCTCAGGGATCTTTTCATCAGTTGCAGTTACAGCTTTTGCACAGTGCTTCCTAGCTGTAAGATTTAAAGGTTCTTTAACTTTGAACCTTCAGAGAAGGCAAAGTTAAGGGCCAAAGACCTTTGTAAAGCACAGAAGGCAATTTCTCACATTTCTGTAAACCTTTCAAATACATTTATAAAGTTATTTTATGCTTCTCCCTATTTTCCTCCCCATTCCTACAGTGTCTGGCTAATTCCAGGCTATTCCTGCACCCTTTTTGTCAAGCTAAGTTTTCCATTAAGGTCCCTGGGAGTTTTGCTAGCCAGACCTTACCCAGCCCGCAGGCATCCCACCCAAATAAGTCAACAACGCCTTATTACTGGCAAATTCTGGTGTCCATCTACTTCTGCTGTGGTATCAGAAACGCATGACTGTGTTATCACTGTAGGATTTGGGGTGGACACTGGTTTTAGGAAACTAAGAGTCAATCAGTTCGTCCTGTAGGACCCAGAGGCTGCACCCTGGGTTTAACCCAGTTGGCCAGGACATAGTTGACAGTGTCAGTGGGTCGGTGCTCCATTCCAGGGGGCTGCAGGAGAGCAAATGCTGAGGGAGCAGCCAGTAGGTAGTGCTCAGGGGCTGCCCTGTACCCACCCCACACTTGGCACCCCAGGGTGTCACGCTGGGTTCAGCCCATTTCCTCATCACCCAGCTCTGGCAGACCAATGCTGGCCAGCCAAAACTATTCCAGTTGGTTTTCTCTGGAGCTGCCAGACTGAGCCCTCTGAGCTACGCATCTTGCTGATTCCCAGCTCTCCAGACTGTCCAAGGGGGAGAATCATTCTTTAAGGGAAAAAAATGTAAAAATCTGATGCTTTCCAATCTACGAGCAAGGTGTTTGAAAAGAAAAAATGCAAAGGTCCTCAACTCATATGAAAAGACATGTCTCTGCTAAAATAGACGGTTAGTCCTTCCCTCTACCTGGCACAGAGTACTTTTAAAAAGTGCACAAACATTTTCAAGTTACCTTTTGAGCTTCTTAAAGTCACCTCACGGGGAAAAAAAAGTGTAAATAAAAGGAACCCTTATTTGTAAACCTTTTAAAGTCTTCTAACTAGGGCAGTTCTTTCTGATTTGGGGCTTTTTGTTGTTGTTAAGATCAGCTTGTATGATGCATATTTCCACAGAAATCATTCGGTAACAGAACTGACTTTAAATGACTATGCTAGCTTGAGTGGTAATACACATTACAAACTCTGATCTTCCTGCATAAAGAACAAGTAAACAAATGAGCAAGCAAGCAAGCCAGCTTGCGAGCAATTCTGCAATCTCTGCTCAAGGTCTACAAGCTCTGACTACAATAATAAAGCAACGATTAAAAATCCTGCAGTTAATCTATTGCCTTTATGTATTCTACTCAAATGCAAGAAGAAACTTCCATAATCTGCTACTGATGCAGGAACAGTTCAACCTCAGAAGCAACTTCATATTGTTCTTGGCAATGTTGCCATCTAGGGCACACAAGCAAGTAAATAGGTCAGTGGTGCTGCAGGCAGATGCCCCAGTGTCCAAGGAAAACGTCTGTTCCCTTTGCCATGCAGTCATACTCTAAACCAAAAAAACCTGATTTCCCTGCAGAATTTAGAGATTTAGAGATTTTAGACGCTATGTATTTCTGAAAAACAGGACTTGCACTCCTAAATCATTGGAAAATACTCAAGTTTCCTTGTTTAGACAAAAGCAAGAGCTAGCAGGGTGAGAACCATAACAATAATATGTTACAAAGTCTTTGGAAGTGGTCTGGGGACAGATATTGTTAAGATTTTTAAATAGGGTGCATGCCTCTAGTTGGCTGAATTAGAGCATGAGTTTACAAAAGGATATAGGGTGGGTAGGTATGTAAAGGTATCACTGTTTCCCTCAATTGTATAAAGAACTTTATCCTTGAAAGGTAACAATTCATTACATAAGTATGTTGCCATGGTGGAAATCCCTTCTGATAATAACTTCTAACTCGGCTAGACACAAAAATTAAAGGGCTTATGCAGATGGGTGAATGAGTATGCTAATTTATAGAGGAATAATATGATGGAGAAATCCCAAACTTGGTATTAGAAAAGGATCCATTATTTTCACTCTGTTCACGGTTTTTATTATTCTTTCACATGGTTTTGTACTGTTGGCTTTGTAAAGAATACAAATTCTTTAAGAAAAGTTAGTTTCCAGAAATTAAATGTGTCCTAAAAAATCATGGAAAGCCATTGTTTCTCAAAGATCTACTGGTTTTCTACTACAAGAGGAAGTCTTTTCTCTACTACCAGTATTTTTTAAGGTCCAGAAAAGGATATCATTATGTTTAGACTTGTGTTGAGTAAAACATTGTCACTAATTATGAAAAAGAATGCAGGAGCTCTGAAAATTCTGCAGCATTTTGTCTATACACAGCACAGAAACAAATGTATTATGAAGTTATACAGGAAACTCCAGTCACTGGTGGTATTTCAGAATAGCTGATATTTTGAATTCAGTCTCAGTTGACAGCCTGAACTCCTCAGTGTGTCCTGGCACTTGCATAGGGTGTAATTGCTTTTCTGGACAAGAATGAAATCTCTGTAAAGTATATGATAGCATACAGTATCTGAAATTTTGGCACATTGTGATGGATGCTGTGAATAATGATAGTAAATTGCAACTATTTATCATGGTTTCAAATTCAGAACCTGAAAACTGGTTGAGTTTTCTACCACTGAGATTTGAATCTTTTTACATTATACAAATATTCCAGTTGTGTTTTGATCTACAACTGCCAAGAGCCCTCTGAAGCTGCTTATTTTTGCATTGCAAATATTTGTGTGCATGTAGAACTGATTTCTTTCTTTCATGCTACCACACATGTAGTATATGCATGTGTATAGTAGTATATACACATGTAGTGTATATGTAGACAATATGTGTAGTATACACACACCATACAGTTTTAATTCACTACCATTTCATTGACTTCTCATCCTGCACCTACTTTTTAAGGATTACTGTAGACATTTGCTTAGATATACATCGCTATATTCAACCTTAAGTCAAGCTCCATTTTTTGAGACACTGTGACTTGTGAGGACTGCAAGTGTAGGGGAGAAAAGAAAATTGCCCTAGGAGATAAAGTTTTAAGGCACACTCTGTGGTTATTCATCTATCCTTAAGAACAAGATGAAAAATGACACAAGTGTTGGTATTGTCTTAGTATACTAGGTGTCTATAATATGCAAGTACGCATATTTGTACAGGCAAAAGTGTGCTCTAACTATTGTCCTGTTATAATTTACAGGGTGGGGTGATGCAATGGTGTTGGTGAAGTGCCTCTTCTCTGAGTCACCTGGATCCACTCTAGGGACATTTTGCCAGTGGGCAGCATCACTCCCTGACAACCTGCTGCAGCTGCAGGCATAGTCAACACATGGGAACTGCTCCAATGTGCTTCATAATTGCAGCCACTGCTTGCTTATGAGACACCACCAGCTCTGTCAAAATTCAGTATGAAGGAGCAGATATGACATGTGAGTAAGGATTACACACATCCAGTGGGTATGCTGTTGAAGACGGAAAGCATAACCAGTGTTACACCACAGAAACATGAAGAGCCACAGTTCTTGTGATTACCCTGTCTCTTTGTAGCTTTGGTGCTGAGAGGGCAGCACAAGGCAACAGCAGCAGCAGGGAAGTGGCTTGTCTCCATGGTATCTCCACCACATTGCCTGCTCCCTGCAAGCTCACTCTATGAGGAAATGAGCGGTGTTAAACTTCCCCAGCCCCAGTAGGAAGTTTTGTCCTCTGTGATCTGAGGCACACCATGACTCTGGATCACCCTCTGTTATCTGCTGAAAAGCTGTGATGGAACCCTTTTCTAGCCTTTCATCTGGATAAAGTTAGTTTGGTTCTCAGGAACATACTCACACAGGCATTCATGTTCACTTGCAAGACTTGGAAGGCACTAATAATGTACAACTTGTCACTTCCTACTCCAAGATGATTGAAAACATTTTTCACATAGAAGGAGAGGAGCTGATTTCGAACACTGCAGTTTGTCTGAAAACAAAGGAGGTAAAGAGTTGCCAAATTAAAATCTCACAAGTCCACTTTGGCCTAAAACTTCAGCCTTGTAAAATTATGCATGTTTAGAAAGGGTAAGATCAATAAAAAATATTTTTACAAATTTTGGTATCCCATTGGACTGCTTCTTTTCATTTTAAAGAGCTCAGTGTACCCCTGTGGTTTCTGAAGGAAAGGCAAGGAGAATGCTGGCAACCAAAGGAGTACTGGTACGACCAGCCATGAACAGGAGTGTCAGGAACAAATCTAGGTAACAAAGAATAAATGGAAGATGAATTGGGGAATTAAGCCACACTGTCTTGGCCAAATTGTAGGAGTCATTGTTCCATTTCTCTGTGTCAGTGCCCCATACCATTTGAGATGCTGTAGGGTATCCCACCCATCCCCAACTACTGCTCCAGAAGAGATCAGTCATCCTGTATATCCCGTGTCGTATCTGCCTGTTCTGTGGGATCTCTTAGATACCCAAAGGCATTTCCAACAGCTGTATGCCTATTTTTAGGCAATGGAACCAAGCATCAGCTGAGAAATTCCCACTAGGAGGATAATACAGATGCAGATTAACCCACCCAAATGCAGGTGTCCATGTGGAAGTCCCACAGGCAAGCAAGGAGCCTTCACTTCCAACATAATCAATGAGAGGCAGGGGAATTCAAAGGCCAGTAGGTCTCTACTAAAGGCTAAACTGGCTTACGTGGTCCTGCTGACTAGATCTCTGTGTTCAGGAAGCTAAAATATCTCACACACTTGTAGTCAATTACAAATAGGCACAGCAAGTTTAGTTTCTCATTCCCATGCTAGGTAACTCTGATATCCCTCTTCCTGTCTACGCGCAGAGGTGAAAGCCCAAAGCAGCTCCTTGGGTGTCCTAACTTCTCTGCAGCAGCCCTGAGCTATCTGTGGTACTATACACCCACAGCAGAAGGTGCCTGTGCTGCCAGGATGGTAGCTGTGGCCGTGGCCCTCATGTGAATAGGCTGATACCTGAAAGCATTGCTGAGGAGGATCACACAAATCCAGGTACTCACAGGAGGAGCAAGTGGTACCACAGGCACACCCCTACCCACACAGCAAACACCCTTACCCCAGGTTGCCTTGGAAAGCCCCCCCGGCAACCACCTAGAGAGAAGTGTCTTCAGGCCGTCTTTCCAAATCCACCTCTTTCTCCTCATACCATGCTCAAGTCTCCCTTTCTGTCACAGAGGAATATCCCTTTCTACAGAGTAGAGGTAACACTCTAAGTGGAGGACTTCATTAAACATATGGCTTTCATAAATATAATGTCCTTCCCAATTAAACACAAGCGGTTTTTGTGTTGGCTGTCATTCCTTTTGATCACACATTCCTATCTCTACTGACCAAAAGAAAATCAAAGTAAGAAAATGGAAAACCAGTAGTATAAGTCTTACCATAAACAGCATTTTTGTTGTCTTTTTAAGCAGTCTCGTGTTCTTGATCAGATCCTTCTGTAAAATATAATGTGCTAATATTAACCTAAGCAGAAGAAGGGAGAGAGAGTTTTAAGTCTGGTTTGTACAAAACTTAGTAGCAATCATCATCATCATCATCTTATTCAGACGTAGGATGAGGACTCAGCAAATCTGTGTTCCAATTCCAACCTAGCTGCAAACTTCTTCCATGTCAGACTTCTTGGCAAGTTCATTCCACCTCTCTATGCATCTTCTTTTTCCTCATCTTTACAAAAGGGCTAGCGGCATTACCCTGTCTCTCAGGACTGTAGAGATCATTCAGCTTATTAAAGTTTCCAGGTACTCAGTAATGAGGCTTGTAAAGAAGCATCCTTAAATAAAATAAACTTTTCAACTAGTGGAATCAACTTACAGGAGCAGATGATTTTAAACTAGTTGCCTTGATATACAGGTTCTCTGTCACTTGGGAGAGGAGTCCTTTTCGGCAGGTATGCTTCACTGTTGGTGACTTTTTGCTTTCCACAGTGAAAAGACAAAGCAGAACTAAAAAATGCCCAGATCTGAAAATAGAATATACTTTCATCTTCGCTCCCAAATCTTCATGCCTCTACACTCACAGCAGAGTATGTGATACAGCAATACTGGTTAGATGACAGAGGTTAACCTAATTCTGTTAACCCTCAAAGCGGCTTCTGTGCTGAGATGCTCACGTAGATAACCTATTGCTCGTGTGCTGGCTGATCAGTGTTGTTACTGTGCTTTTTTATACATCTTGCTCCACTTTCAACAAATTTGACCACAATCATCTGTGACGTTTTTCTAAACGATACCTCCATATTTACTGGCAGCAGGGTCAAGGTTTCCAAGAAAGAACTTTCCTCTCATGTGAGAAGTCTTCTTTCATTTAAGCGGTGGTCAGGTGAGGAAAAAGAGGTTGAGCTCATTAGTTTGGCTTTGTAACAAAGTATATCAAATGTCTGAATTTGTTGTGTTTTTTTTTTTAATTTTTCCACAAAACTTATGGCAGCACTTTTCTGAAAGGTGATGGCCTGGAGAGAAAAAAGTCTTTTTACCCTAAGAACATTAGAAATCTTACCTCTATGTTATCTGTATGGAAGTTGGACCACACTGCCTTTAAATCTTTAATGTCCAGTCTTTGAAAAGAGTTTTGTTCCAGGAGCCCAGCAGATAGTAGCAAAGTGTTTGTTGCCTATTTTATCTCTGTATTAGGCTTTTGCCAGGGCAGAATTTGCCTGGTAGAAGCAGCAGCCTGCTTAGTCTAAAAGTGAGAGCTGCACGGAGGGCTTTGTTCAAGGGCCAGAGCATGCTTGGCGATCAAGTTGCTTTAGGAGCCCACTGAGAGCCACAGGAACTGGGAAATAATGTGCATAACCACCATCAAGATAATAAAAGTGAGCCAGCACTGAGAGGAAGGGTGAGACAAGCTGGACAATAAAGTCACTCCAGCCTTAATCCCACTGAACATTTACACAAACACGTGTGCAGCCTCCAGGCCAAGATGGAATCACATCCAGCTTCAAGGTTCCGTCCTGTAACAGGTCTGGGAGTATTTTAACACAGAACCATCCATACATCATATGGAGCATTAAGTGCTGATGGGGCCGAAGGACAAAAAGGACCAAAATATGGAGAAGAGTTTAGACTTCTGGAAAGTGGAGATGATAGACTTGAGGCCTTATGTGCATTAAGGTCTCATTTGAACTGTGGTCTGCACTTAAACTTTCTAAACGCTGTCAGGCTTCCCAGAGAAGGTGAATGAAACCTCAGCATACAAGGTATGTGGACAGCAGTTTAGCCACTTAAACTTAGTTTGTTCTTAGAGGAAGATCTCAGGCAATAGCAAGAGTAGAGTCAGAATGCAAAACTGCCTTGGGTTCCCCAAGATGTGGTACTCCCTGGTCAACAGTTTTTCTCTAAATGGAGTAAATGGGTCATGTAGCCAGTCTGTAACAGCTTTTCACAAGAAAATCAATAATTTTCAACATCTCTGAAACCTCTGACCTTGTTGAAAAACCCTTGAGCCCATAAGTTTCATTTTGTCTGTCCTGTGAGCTCTAATCATCATGCTCAGAGGGCTGCAGCAGTGACACTTGCACGGGCCACTAGACACCTCTGCATGTGAATCAGCAAACATCTTACTGAATTAGCTAACTTTTCAACTGAGTAATATAAAAGGATACAGATGGATGCAGATGCATCGTGACCATATCTTAAAAAGCTAAAAATGAAAGGACATAGGGCTTTCCTATCTTTACTGTCGTAGAAGGATGGTAGGTACCATTGAATATCTGATCCTGTAAAATCAGTTACACTTCCACCTTTTTTGATATGCTGTCTTAACTACTGGTCATACGATAGTCAATATTCTTTAAGTTCCTCATTTGTCACTTGTTCAGAACAAAGATGGTCTTTTTTAGGGGGGTGTCACATAGTGCTTTGTACACTGGATTTTAGTGTCACTTTGGCACTCATATAGCTATTGTATAAATAATATAGAATACAAACAAGCTGGTATTGCTCAGTATTTTAAAGTTATATGAAGCACAGGAAATAACAAATCTGGGGAGGCTCCAGCTCTTTTAGCCATGAAGACAGAAAAGATCTTCCAAGTTTGGTATGGCAGTGGACCTGATATATCCAGAGCTTGTCTGGGGACAACAGTGAAACACACCACCAAGCATGTTGACTTCCAGACCTAGGCTGGGAATCATGGGAGTTCAAGGAGACTGGCCTGAAGGAAATGAGCTCTCTACATGTGGAAACTTTCAGATGTACTGAATCGATGAATACTTAAGAAACAATACAATACTGATAACGCATCCAAAGTTCATGTATTACATTAATAAAAAATGTGTAAAGTTTATTATAATGAGAATGTATGAGAAATAAAATAACTAAGAAGAAAGAATAAGAAAAATTAAGAGAGTAGCCACCTTATTAAAGAAAATATTGCCTTATTTGCCCTGGCTGGGGACTAACCTTCGAAGACGGTTTTGTGTTGACCTGTGCTACACGTGACTGCATGACACTACCAGCCTGAAAGAGATCCTTTCTTCACCTTCTAATTGTGAACCATGGAATTGTCTTGATCTATACGAGTTCAGTAGCTATTATGAATTTTAGATTCTTTTGATCTGTGTCAATACATCTACTACTGCTGCAAAGTTCCGTTAGTCTGTTTAAAGTAACAATCATATCTACTCATTGTTTTGCAGCTTAATTGGCTTCCCGATCTCCATCCATAAAAAGCTTTGTCTAGTTTCTTACTTCTGAATCTTCTCACCTTTCACATTTCTGTTTATTTTATTTCCTGTTAGTATAACTAGAACTAAATTAGTCGTGTACTTCCTATAAATGTTACTCATATTTGCTTAGCTGATGCTAATGTTACGCTGTCTTTTAAGACTATACCATTTCTTTTGTTCCTTTATCCATTAATTAACTTTGGTTTTCTGAAAAATAATAGATCTGCACAAAGAGCAGCAGCATTTGTGTTCAGAAATGTGATTCAATGAGTAACAATGAAGCCTATTGAGATTTTCCAAAACATGAGGGTAACAATACTGCTGTAGGACATAAAAAAAAAATGAGATAACTGCTGCCTCTGTTGGAGAGAGAAGTTTGGAACAGAGCAGCTCCTATCCTCCAAAACTGATTTTGCAGTTTTCTAAACACAGTTGTAATGAACATAAGCATGTAGGTAAGCGCAAAATACCCACCAGTCTTTAAACACTGTTTCGTATAATCTTCTGTTATTATTTAGGAACTTTTGGAGCTGCTATAGATTTTGTATAATTACTGAACAATTGCAAACCAATTTTTCAGATGCAGGTACCTAAATTACCCATGCAAACTGAGCACATAGGCACCCAAGAATTCACTGCCACCAGTTTCAGCAAGAGTTGACAGAAAGCTCCTGCTTAAATATTGTACATACACTGCTCTGGTTAGGGAAAAAAAACCTACGTAGCTGAAATTGGGATAGTGTAAAGAAAGCTAAAAACATTGGACACCTAGGATTGGATGTCAGTTTGGTGCCTTTCTCATCCCTAAACACAAAATCACTACACTTGTTCCCATGACACATCTACACTACACAGTGCCTCTTTAGGTACTCCTCAACTGCCTTGGCTGAGCATCAACAAAAGATGAGTGAGGTTGGAAGAGACTCCCGGAGATCATCTTGTCCAACCCGCCTGCTCAAGGAGGGCCACCTAGAGCCAGTTGTCTGGGGTTGTGCCCAGTCAGGTTTTGAATATCTCCAAAGATGGGACTCTTAACCTCTCCAAAACACCAATCTTTGGTCATTCTCACAGAATTTGAAAAATCATGGCAGTCAGGTGAAGTTCCCAAAGACTGGAAAAAGGGAAATATAACCCCCATTTTCAAGAAGGGGAAAATGGATGACCCCAGGAACTACAGACCAGTCAGTCTCACCTCTATGCCCAGTAAAATCTTGGAGCAGATTCTCCTGGAAGGCATGCTAAGGCACATGAAAAACAACAAGGTGCTTGGTGACAGCCAGCATGGCTTCACTAAGGGGAAATCCTGCCTGACCAATTTGGTGGCCTTCTATGATGGGGCTACGGAACCGATGGACAGGGGTAGAGCAGTTGATGTCATCTACCTGGACTTGTGTAAAGCGTTCAACACTGTCCCACACGACATCCTTGTCTCTAAATGGGAGAGACATCAATTTGATGGATGGACCACTCGGTGGATAAAGAACTGGCTGGATGGCCGCACGCCATCAATGTTGTGGTCAATGGCTCAATGTCTGGCTGGAGACCAGTAACGAGTGGTGTCCCTCAGGGATCAGTACTGGGACAGGTCTTGTTCAACATCTTTGCCGCTGACATGGACAGTGGGATTGAGTGCGCCCTCAGCAAGTTTGCTGATGACACCAAGCTGTGTGGTTCGGTTGATACGCTGGAGGGAAGGAATGCCATCCAGAGGGACCTTGACACACTTGTGAGGTGGGCTGATGCCAACCTCATGAAGTTTAACCATGCCAAGTGCAAGGTCCTACACCTGGGTTGGAGCAATCCCAGGCACAGCTACAGGTTGGGCAGAGAAGAGATTCAGAGCAGCCCTGCGGAGAAGGACTTGGGGGTGTTGGTCAATGAGAAAATGAACATGAGCCAGCTTCAGTGTGCACTCACAGCCCAGAAAGCCAAATATATCCCGGGCTGCATCAAAAGGAGCGTGACCAGCAGGTCGCAGGAGATGATCCTGCCCCTCTACTCTGCTCTTGTAAGACCTCACCTGGAGTACTGTGTGCAGTTCTGATGTCCTCAGCATAAAAAGAACATGGAACTGTTGGAACAAGTCCAGAGGAGGGCCACGAGGATGATCAGGGGACTGGAGCACCTCCTGTATGAAGATAGGCTGAGAAAGTTGGGGCTGTTCAGGCTGGAGAAGAGAAGGCTGCATGGAGACCTCATAGCAGCCTTCCACTATCTGAAGGGGGCCTATAGGGATGCTGGAGAGGGACTCTTCATTAGGGATTGTAGTGACAGGACAAGGGGTAACATGTTAAAACTTAAACAGCGGAAGTTCAGA